AGGGTTCTAAAGGAATGTAAAGAGGAGCTTAGCACACCTTTGGCTAATCTTTTCAACATATCACTACAAACTGGCATGGTGCCAGATAAGTGGAAAATGGCAAATGTGATACCTATTTTCAAAACAGGTGACAGGTCCTTAGCTTCGAACTATAGACCAATAAGCCTAACCTCCATAGTGGGAAAATTTATGGAATCAATAATTGCCGAGGCAGTTCGTAGCCACCTTGAAAAGCATAAATTAATCAACGAATCTCAGCATGGTTTTACAAAGGGGCGTTCCTGCCTTACGAATTTATTAACTTTTTTCACTAAGGTATTTGAGGAGGTAGATCATGGTAATGAATATGATATTGTGTATATGGACTTCAGTAAGGCTTTTGACAGGGTCCCACATCAGAGACTATTGAGGAAAATTAAAGCACATGGAATAGGAGGAGAAATTTTTTCCTGGATAGAGGCATGGTTGACAAATAGGCAGCAGAGAGTTTGCATAAATGGGAGAAATCAGAGTGGGGAAGCGTCACGAGCGGTGTTCCACAGGGGTCAGTGTTGGGCCCCCTGCTGTTCACAATCTACATAAACGACATAGATGAGGGCATAAAAGAGCGACATCGGCAAGTTTGCCGATGACACCAAAATAGGCCGTCGAATTCATTCTGACGAGGACATTCGAGCACTCCAGGAAGATTTGAATAGGCTGATGCAGTGGTCGGAGAAGTGGCAGATGCAGTTTAATATAGACAAATGCAAAGTTCTAAATGTTGGACAGGACAATAACCATGCCACATATAAACTAAATAATGTAGATCTTAATATTACGGATTGCGAAAAAGATTTAGGAGTTCTGGTTAGCAGTAATCTGAAACCAAGACAACAGTGCATAAGTGTTCGCAATAAAGCTAATAGAATCCTTGGCTTCATATCAAGAAGCATAAATAATAGGAGTCCTCAGGTTGTTCTTCAACTCTATACATCCTTGGTTAGGCCTCATTTAGATTATGCTGCACAGTTTTGGTCACCGTATTACAGAATGGATATAAATTCTCTGGAAAATGTACAAAGGAGGATGACAAAGATGATCCCATGTATCAGAAACCTTCCCTATGAGGATAGACTAAGGGCCCTGAAACTGCACTCTCTAGAAAGACGTAGAATTAGGGGGGATATGATTGAGGTTTATAAGTGGAAGACAGGAATAAATAAAGGGGATGTAAATAGTGTGCTGAAAATATCTAGCCTAGACAGGACTCGCAGCAATGGTTTTAAGTTGGAAAAATTCAGATTCAGGAGGGATATAGGAAAGTACTGGTTTGGTAATAGAGTTGTGGATGAGTGGAACAAACTCCCAAGTACAGTTATAGAGGCCAGAACGTTGTGTAGCTTTAAAAATAGGTTGGATAAATACATGAGTAGATGTGGGTGGGTGTGAGTTGGACCTGATAGCTTGTGCTAACAGGTCGGTTGCCGTGTTCCTCCCTTAAGTCAATGTGACCTGACCTGACTAGGTTGGGTGCATTGGCTTAAGCCGGTAGGGACTTGGACCTGCCTCGCATGGGCCAGTAGGCCTTCTGCAGTGTTCCTTCGTTCTTATGTTCTTATGTTCTTATACATTGCAGAGCTTAGAATATCGTAACTCCAGTGGTATGTTAATACGGAAAATTGGAACAAAACAGACATTTTATTAACCAACACCTACACTTAACCTACATGTGCACTTAACTCGCGTGTGCACTTAATCAACATGTACTATCGATTATCACGTGCAGTTCCTATGTAGCTTTCACTTCCTGTTCTCTCTCCCTCTCTCCTAGTGCTTTAGTGCCGTATCCTCTTCCTCCTTCCATCGTGGTTCCCTAATCCCTCCTTCCTATGCATCCTTCCCCTCCATTGCCCTTGTACCTGCGTCCAGACTCGGCTTTACCTATTTCTGTGTCCTTGTACCTGCCTCCGGCTTCAGCTTTATTACAAGGTAAAAAAGACCAAGGCTACTCATATTTTTCCATCTCTGGTTTATTGAAGGGATGCGATCATTAAACAGGTACCTGGATGTTAGTCGAGTGTTAGGTACCATCCTGGGGTACACCTTTGACATTTTTGTTAAAGAGCTGGGGTAGGATAACGTTTATTTTTACATTCAACTGTAGATGAGAAATATGAGGGGAACTATTAAGAGATGCATATAAAAAAAGGTGTTTTGGTTGATTTGGTCCTACAAAATGCACATTCACGCAGCCTTGATCAGTCTCCCGTGGAGAGTTGCGTGGAAGATTTGTGTAACTTTTTGGATTTATGCAAGAGTTATGCAGTTATGTATCAGTCATTGGAAAACTCAAAAAACCCTGACCAATGTCTAAATCTCTTTTAGGACAACATGTGCGCATCGCGCGCCGCTTGTTTTCCGACGCGATTCAGTGCGTCAAAATTTCAGAACGTTTCCTGATATTTTTTTTTGCATTATCTTAGATAAAACTGATTTGAATAGGGTTATTAAAACTTGTATGTAACCCTAAATAAAGATAAAGAAAAAAACTAGCATCTGGCAGTGTGGTATCCAAGCAAACCCAGGTAACGTTCGAACCTGTAAGGATGGTTTGCTGAAGGATACAGTGAGATAAGCGGAATTACTGATGTAAATTCAAGATTCATTCCACTGGAAAGTTGTTGACATTTTTAAACCCTCATTACAAATTGAATCAACGTGAAAAAACTTGACACCTTATTTACTAACCAGTTTTTATATACTGTGCCTTATTATACAGGCTATGACATCTCTTAATTCATTTCAAAGTCCAGTATTGTAGTAGGTATACTGTCTCCTCCCCAAGATGCGACCCATGACAGTTGACTAGTATATTGGTCTGATTTAAATGTTAGGTGAACAGAGGCAACACTGCCCAGGTAGGTAAGGTTCGTCAGGCAACAGGACAAGTGCTTCCTGTCGCGGGTCTTAGGTAGATGATGACCCACCGTTGGAGCTTTGGGTCATCTGACCGAAGCCTTCCGCTGGCTTACCGGTCCAGTTATACCCATTTCTCTAGTTACACTGCCCAGAATACGACTCGCAGCAGTAGGCTAAGACACAGGTACCCGATGACTGATAGGTGAACAAGAGCGTAAGGAAACCTACCCATACGTTCCGCCGTGGATGAGAAAACTCACTCTTACTAAGAGTGATCCCTTGTATCACCATGGAAGTCACCACGGATAAAAATTAGAGAAAAAAAAGTGTCACGTCGATTTGATTCTTTTTGGTCGTTGTTGTAACAGGTTGTGAGTAACCTTCAGTACACTACATAGCGTACGCTTCCCTCTAAGTACAATTTTGTTTTCATTTACTTAGAAAAGTTCTAGCTAGAGCGAGGAGTCTAAACAAAGTCCTTTTCATAAGTCTGTCCACATACTTGTCTAATTACACCATCAATCTTGCGCAGGTAATTTTGGTCTCTCCGTCGCTCGTGTCTTCATGTTCATCGTCATCTCTGACGAGAACAATACTTTCCCTGCCTCCAGGTGTGGCAGGAAGAATTATTTCACCACCACACGCTGTAATCAGTGGCTTTAAGGCAGTGTCTAAAACTGTTGATGTACTGGGCCTTGTGTACCAGGTTATGATGTACCGGGCCTCGTGTACCGGGCCTCGTGCACCGGGCCTCGTGCACCGGGCCTCGTGCACTGGGCCTCGTGAATAGAACTCTTGAAACCAGGTACAAGTACGTAGCAGCATAACATCAATGGAATACAATACTGACAAGTTGACGAGATAAACACATTTGCAACACCTGGGTATCTTAATTTTGGAGAAAAAAATAATGGTACCCTAGTGTTGCATGTATCTAATTCCACAAGTATGTGGCAAGTATACTGCTGAAATTATATGACTAATGTATTTTTTCAAACTAATATACTCTTCTCGGCACTGTACTTACCCATAGATCCTTCTCCTTAGATGAGATTTAAAGCCGATAGTGCCTTACACTATTCAATAGTTCATTTTTTTTTTCGCCGTTTCCTCGATTATCATAATTTTTCTGGTTTTACCTCCATGTCAAAATGTAATTGTTGGGGACAGAATTGATTTTTTCAGTTCAGTATTAATATATCTGAACGCGCAGCGACCGACACACATCTGGTAATGATTATATTCACAAAAGCTGCTATGTAAAACAAAATCAGTGATAACATTTCATTTAATCACTTGCAACTTCCTGTGTTCCTCACGAATCGACTCGGATAACACCATATCACAGCCGTTACTCCACCGATGGTATCACATTAATGTTTCACAGGATTTCAGATTTTCCTACGCATGTACTCGCTACTGGCTGAGGTCCGAATGAGTTATACGCTGACTAACGTCCACATGAGATACGCACTCGCTGCTGACTGAGTACATACAAGATAGTGACGTAGTTGTTTATAAGGTTGAGTTGCTTTACTTTCCATAGCAGAAGGCCAAGTTGATAATAATAAGACTTATTAACGTTGCATTGTACCACCATATATTATCTTTGTATTCCTAACGTTAAGTCTCCCTTTTGGTTCAAAGAGACAGAGATACAGAATTGGTTGGTGTGAAAGGGGACTAACGTCTTTGTGGAAAATACTGAGTGCGCGTCACTAATGTAGAAGAATGTTGAGACTATGTCTCCCTGTCATCATAGAGAGAAGGTTAATTAAGTTTCTCTCGCAGACATCGAAATCGAGGTCAGCACAATGGTAACTTGTACTCATGAACTCCTCCCACAATCCAAGGCTAAGTAGGATTTCCCTCGTGACATAGACGCAGATTTTTGTAAAATTGTATTTAATTCCCCTCATACTCTGAATTAGAAATTACTTCATAAGACCATGTGAACCTGCGCAACACTGGCTATAGGAGTTATGTTTTCTTGCACAGGTTCTGAGAGTTAGGTTTACTCACTGATGTTCTCTCTTCCCAAACACCGTTGTTTTCCCACCCCAGCCAGGGCTATTCTCTCTCCCCCAGGAGGTGAGAGACGGATGACCCACCACCTAGCATGGGGACTTTGATGGTGTTATTTACAGTGGTAGCAGCGACGTTGTCGACGGCGCAGGAACAGGAAGGTTATCAAGGTCTCTTCAGCAACGTTGTGTCTGGCCTGCGCGACCTTCCAATCATCGGCAACGTTCTCAGAGCTTCTGTGGATCCCCTGTACAGGCCACTCGTCAGCCAGTTCCAACCCAGGAGCAACAGCAGTCAGTTGTATTCTTCAGGTTCACTCTCACTTTTGTCTTCAAACACTACAAACATTACAAATTTGAAATTCATTTATAAAGCCATTTCAACAACACACTTAGATAATCATGGTGTTCATGTACACATAGTTACTTCCACAAACCTTTTTTGAGAAGAGAATTATGGATGGCGGAGCACAAATGAATGCTAAAGTTGTAAATAAGTCACAGGATATTAGGAATGATTGTGAAGTTCACATCAGTCGTCCAAACGTGATTTCTCATCTCTTGCCTTAATGTTAATTGGAAAGCAGATGGGAACCATCTCATATCGGTGACAAAGTCTAGAGAAGAAAGATTTTGTGCAGTCTAGACCTATCCATTACGGTACTAGTATAGTGTGAGGTCATCAGATTTTTCCTCAGTGCTCCTTGAGCAATTTGTTGATCATTAAACCAACTAAAACTTAAAACTTTTGATGGTGAAAAAAAAATTGCTCGCTCTAAATGCTAATTCTCGCCTCGAACCTTCAAAATATATCATAATTAACTTGGTGCTGTCAGCCAATGTATTCACACGAATTAGTACATGTTTAGCAGACCTCAACTACATCAGTTTCCACAACCACCACTAAACTCCCATAACAATAACATTTTTTTTCTTTTACAGAGGAGGGAGAGAGCGAATTCGGCGAGATGTGCTTTGGGGAACTGGGTTGCATTATTTCTGACGATGACTTCTTCCATCCCATCTACCGCCCGCTCAATCTTCCTCCAAACAGTCGAGAGGAGATCCATGTGATCTTCACCGTTCACTCTAGAGAGGACAATCTGGGCACCTCGGTGGAGGGTATCAACGTCACACAAATCCTTAACACGACGTTTAGCTCCGACAGAAAAACTAAGATATTGATCCACGGGTTCTTAGATCACTCAGGGGTAACTTGGATGTGGGTAAGTGAAAAAATTTTTTTTTTACTGCATTTGCTTGAATAATAAACTCATTGAGGAATGTGGTTTTTACGTTATGATTATAAAATAATTTCCGACATAAGAACTGTGAAATAAACCAAAAGTATTCTATATTTTTTGGTTAATACCTAATATACAGTCTCATACATGTTATTATGAAGTTTAGTAAATAAAACTCGCTGATTTACGGATATAAATAACCCTACCAGGACATGGTTCGGTCCCTTTTGCTATACGACGATTTCAACGTGGTGACGGTGGACTGGTCTGGCGGGTCTCAGGCCCTATACTCTCAGGCCACAGCCAACACTAGAGTGGTGGGGCTCGAGGTCGCCCACTTAATTAACTGGCTCAAAGACAACGTTGGTCTTGACCCAACTGATGTCCACATAATAGGTCATTCACTTGGCTCTCACACTGCAGGTAGGTGTATCATACAAGCTACTGTCTTGACACACTACAGATAGGTACCTCATACAGATTACTCTCAAGACACACTGCAGGAAGGTGCATTAAACATAAGAACATAAGAACATAAGAACGAAGGAACACTGCAGAAGGCCTACTGGCCCATGCGAGGCAGGTCCAAGTCTCCTACCGGCTTAAGCCAATGCACCCAACCTAGTCAGGTCAGGTCACATTGACTTAAGGGAGGAACACGGCAACCGACCTGATAGCTATCAGGTCTAACTCACACCCACCCACATCTACTCATGTATTTATCCAACCTCTTTTTAAAGCTACACAACGTTCTGGCCTCTATAACGGTACTTGGGAGTTTGTTCCACTCATCCACAACTCTATTACCAAACCAGTACTTTCCTATATCCTTCCTGAATCTGAATTTTTCCAACTTAAAACCATTGCTGCGAGTCCTGTCTAGGCTAGATATTTTCAGCACACTATTTAAAATCCCCTTTATTTATTCCTGTCTTCCATTTTATACACCTCAATCATATCCCCCCCAATTCTACGTCTTTCTAGAGAGTGCAGTTTCAGGGGCCCTTAGTCTATCCTCATAGGGAAGGTTTCTGATACATGGGATCATCTTTGTCATCCTCCTTTGTACATTTTCCAGAGAATTTATATCCATTCTGTAATACGGTGACCAAAACTGTGCAGCATAATCTAAATGAGGCCTAACCAAGGATGTATAGAGTTGAAGAACAACCTGAGGACTCCTATTATTTATGCTTCTTGATATGAAGCCAAGGATTCTATTAGCTTTATTGCGAACACTTATGCACTGTTGTCTTGGTTTCAGATTACTGCTAACCAGAACTCCTAAAACTTTTTCGCAATCCGTAATATTAAGATCTACATTATTTAGTTTATATGTGGCATGGTTATTGTCCTGTCCAACATTTAGAACTTTGCATTTGTCTATATTAAACTGCATCTGCCACTTCTCCGACCACTGCATCAGTCTATTCAAATCTTCCTGGAGTGCTCGAATGTCCTCATCAGAATGAATTCGACGGCCTATTTTGGTGTCATCGGCAAACTTGCCGATGTCGCTCTTTATGCCCTCATCTATGTCGTTTATGTAGATTGTGAACAGCAGGGGGCCCAACACTGACCCTGTGGAACACCGCTCGTGACACTTCCCCACTCTGATTTTCCCCATTTATGCAAACTCTCTGCTGCCTATTTGTCAACCATGCCTCTATCAGGAAAAAATTTCTCCTCCTATTCCATGTGCTTTAATTTTCCTCAACAGTCTCTGATGTGGGACCCTGTCAAAAGCCTTACTGAAGTCCATATACACAATATCATATTCATTACCATGATCTACCTCCTCAAATACCTTAGTGAAAAAAGTTAATAAATTCGTAAGGCAGGAACGCCCCTTTGTAAAACCATGCTGAGATTCGTTGATTAATTTATGCTTTTCAAAGTGGCTACGAACTGCCTCGGCAATTATTGATTCCATAAATTTTCCCACTATGGAGGTCAGGCTTATTGGTCTATAGTTCGAAGCTAAGGACCTGTCACCTGTTTTGAAAATAGGTATCACATTTGCCATTTTCCACTTATCTGGCACCATGCCAGTTTGTAGTGATATGTTGAAAAGATTAGCCAAAGGTGTGCTAAGCTCCTCTTTACATTCCTTTAGAACCCTTGCATACAGTTCATCAGGGCCTGGGGATTTGTTAGGTTTAATTTATCTATTTTGCCTAAGGACATGTCACTTGTGACCCTAATAGTGCACAGTTTATTATCGTCCTGTTCTACATAATTTTTTCAATACTGGAATATCGCTGGTATCCTCCTGTAAAAAACTGAGAGGAAGTATGTGTTAAAAATTCTACACATTTCCTTATCACTGTCAGTGAGCTGACCCGAGGAACTTTTGAGTGGGCCTGTCTTGTCCCTGATCTTACTTCTGTATACCTGAAAGAATCCTTTTGGGTTAGTCTTCGATTCTCTTGCAACTTTAACCTCATAATCTCTTTTTGCTTTTCTAATTCCTTTTTTATTTCTCTCTTTAACTGAATATATCGATTTCTCAATTGCCCCTCTCCTCTTTTGATTTGCCTATATATGCCTCTCTTTTGACCAATCAGATATTTTTAATCATTGTTCATCCATTTAGGATCATTTTTGTTTGATCTGATTTCCCTATTTGTGAACATAATTTGACTGAGCAGCTAGAACTATGCCTGGAAAGCATCATATCGGCAACCGTCACCACCTACCTGACCCTTAGTCAGGTCATTCCGTTCAGCCCACCTAAGTAATTTTTCAGTCTATGAAATCAGCCAAGCGAAAGTCAGGGACGGAGACTTGATTGCCATTATTAGGGGAATTCCATGATATATTAAAACTGAGTGATTTGTGATCACTTTCCCCAAGCTCATCATTAACCTCAAGATTATTAATTAGTGTTTCCTACTGGCAAGAACCAAGTCAAGGAGGTTATTTCCCCTAGTTGGCTCTGTCACAAACTGTTTTAAAAAACAATCCTGGATCGTATCAAGAAAGTCACCTGACTCTAAATTTCCTGTCAAATTGCTCCAGTCAATCTGTCTATAGTTGAAATCTCCCATTAGCACAACATTTTCGTATGTAGATGCCTTACGAATTTCGTCCCATAGAAGTTTACTGCACTCCCTATCAAGATTTGGGGCCCTGTAAATCACACCCAAAATTAGTTTTTCTCGGCCCTCGAGAAGCTGTAACCAAACAGATTCAGTGGTTGACGCTTCTAATTTAATATCTTGTCTAACACAACAAATTTAAATTGTCTCTGACATACATCGCTACTCCACCACCTTTCCTGTTGACCCTGTCAGTGTGGAATAATTTATAGCCTTGTATGTGACATTCAGAGGGCATCTCTCTATCTTTCAGATTGAGCCAGGTCTCTGTTATAGCAATAATATCTAGTTTCTTTGCACTTGCAATTAATCTTAGCTCATCTATCTTATTTCTTACACTCCTGCTATTAGTATAGTAAACCTTAAGGGAGCTAGTCCCTTGCTGCCCTCTGCTGTCCCCCTTTGTTTGCTGACCTGATCTATTGTCTTTATTTATAACTTCATGCTGAATGCCTTTTATACATTTACTGTTTCCAACCCAAGTGTTGCAACCTGCTTGTTTCCCACACACCACCCATACCTCTATCTTCCATCAGTTTAAAATCATAGGCATTTCACCAATGGCCTTCTCAATCGAGTCTGCAAGTGCTACCACCCCAGCCCCAGAGAGATGTACCCCATCCCTTGCATACATATCATGTTTGCCATAAAAGTTGTTCCAGTTGTCAATGAATGGATTGCAAGTTCCTTGCAGTATCTGTCTAGCCAGCAATTTACACCAATTGCCCTAGACAACCATTCATTTCCTACTCCCCTTCTAGGCAAGATGCTACATATGATTGGGATCCTCCCTTAGACTTAATGAAATCTATAGCTGTCCTGTACTTATCTAGCAGCTCTTCTCTCCTACCCTTCCCAATATCATTTCCACCAGCACTGAGACAGATAATGGGCTTGTTCCCATTACCTGACATGATATTATCCAGCCTGTTGACAATGTCCCCAACACCAGCTCCAGGGAAGCACACTCTATCTCTCATCTTCTTATTCCTATTACAAAAAGCACGGTCAATATATCTTACCTGAGAGTCACCAACCACAAGAATGCGCTTACCTCCATTAGCAGGGGCAGTAGTACCCTTACCTTCACTGGCCACTGAAGTACATTCATCCTGAAGAACAGAGAAGCGATTCCTACCTTCAGATCTTCACTCTTAACTTTCCTTACTCTGATGCGCCTTCCATTACTGTGAACCACTCGCCACTTGTAGCAGGTGCTGGACTGCACCTCACTGCTGGTAGCCGTTGCTACCTCCCCAACTACAGCCTCCTCACAGCGAGAGACAGACTGCACCTCACTTGAAGCCTCATTCCCCACAACTCCAGCCACCTCACACTCTCTCCCAGACCCATTGAAGTGGTCCTTCAGCCTCCTAATCTCCTTCTGGAGAAGCAAGACCTCCTCCTTCAACTCTCCAACCTCAATTTTTAAAACACTGCAGAAGCAAGCCATGCTTTGTAACCGTCCACACTAATCCCCAAAGCAGCTCAGGGTCTGTGACCTCACGTGACGACTGACCACTGACACTGCAGGAAGGTGCATCATACAAGTTTTTCTTATAAAAGGAGATTTTTGGTGAATCATGTTCCTGTAACCGCTGCAGCTTTGTACTAACTGCCACAGGGTATGCTGGAGAGAGAGTGTCCAAGCTGGGAAGGATCACCGGGTTAGACCCAGCTGAACCATTCTTCCAGTACATGCCACCCAGCGTCCGTCTGGACCCATCCGACGCTCTCTTTGTGGACGTTATCCACACTGACGCAGACTCCATCTTCAACCTGGGTGTTGGTATGTAGTGCACTTTAGTTCTTTCTATTAATATTTAATATTATACGTAGTTCACAAAACGGTATAGAATACTGAAAGGATCTACACGAATTGACTTTAAAAAAATATAAGTAATAAATTTTAATATTAATAAGTTACAGAACTCTCATATAACCAGACATATTTAAGGTTCTGGAAGACTTAGAGGAATAGAGACCTTCCATGGCCTCAGGGAGAGTAATCTGAAATGGCAGGAAAACAAAACACAGGGTTGCAGATGTAGGAATGAATTGTAGGAGTGTGTGGAAGTTGATGTGTGGACCTGTGTCGTAGGAGGTATGGGAATGCTTTTGTAGTGTGGGAATAAATTGTAGGAGTATGTGAGTGAGCTGTATAGGGTGTAGGAGTGTGTTGTAGGGTGTCAAAGGGACTTGCAGATGTGTGGGGAAGAGATGTAGGGCTATGGGGTGAGTTGAAGAGATGTGAAAGTGCAGTAGGGTCAAGAGCTGCAGCTAATACCCTAAAGCGTTGTCAAGCCTAGTAAAGGAAGCTCAGCCTCCTCACAGACACAGCTAGGAAAATAAGGTGTTGGTTCAGGCTAAACAAGCCTAGAAACAGGAACCCCACTCTCTAAAACAGGTAAAATTTGATTCCGATTAGCAGAGGCATTGTCAAGATATTCAGTATTAATTATTTTCAATAATATGACCTTTATTGTCACTCAATGATGTAACAGTTTCCAAATCCTGCAAGAGGAAAATAATTATTAGGCTTAAATAAAGTCTAATTTTCCATGTTAGAGATGGGTAAGATATGAATTATCTCGAGAACAGCTTAATAATAATACCCAGAACTACGTTTATATATGATCATAAGATAGTATGGTATCTTGTGGGCATGTGTGTGCAGGCTACGGGATGAAGCAGCCGGTGGGTCACCTCGACTTTTACCCCAACGATGGCAGGAATCAGCCAGGCTGTGACTCCCTCACTCGCGTCCCCCTCACAGCTCTCACTGACGGCCTCAATCTTTACGAAGGTTAGTTCCACCTTCTCATTTTCATTCATGTTTATCTTGAAATGATATATTTTGAGCATTTATATACCATGAATTTATCGTAGGTAATTTACACACGTGTTGAACTATGTATGATAATTGTACCGGCCGTATCCCACCAAGGCGGGGTGGCCCAAAAAGAAAAACGAAAGTTTCTCTTTTTAAATTTAGTAATTTATACAGGAGAATGGGTTACTAGCCCCTTGCTCCCGGCATAGCTTACGCATGGCTTAAGAAGGAAGAATTCTGTTCCACTTCCCCATGGAGGTAAGAGGAAATAAACAAGACCAAGAACTAGAAAGGAAATAGAAGAAAACTCAGAGGGGTGTGTATATATATATGCTTGCACATGAATGTGTAGTGTGACCTAAGTGTAAGTAGAAGTAGCAAGACGTACCTGAAATCTTGCATGTTTATGAGACAGAAAAAAGACACCAGCAATCCTACCATCATGTAAAACAATTACAGGTTTCCGTTTTACACTCACTTGGCAGGACGGTAGTACCTCCCTGGGTGGTTGCTGTCTACCAACCTACTACCTACAACTATTATGTATATATATATATATATATATATATATATATATATATATATATATATATATATATATATATATATATATATTGTTTAATAAATGTATGAAGGATGGAAGGTACCTAGGGATGGCGGAGAGCATGTATAGTCCCTTTATATAAAGGGAAAGGGGACAAAAGAGATTGTAAAAATTATAGAGGAATAAGTTTACTGAGTATACCAGGAAAAGTATACGGTAGGGTTATAATTGAAAGAATTAGAGGTAAGACAGAATGTAGGATTCGGATGAGCAAGGAGGCTTCAGAGTGGGTAGGGGATGTGTAGATCAAGTGTTTACATTGAAGCATATATGTGAACAGTATTTAGATAAAGGTATGGGAAGTTTTTATTGCATTTATGGATTTAGAAAAGTCATATGATAGAGTGGATAGAGGAGCAATGTGGCAGATGTTGCAAGTGTATGGAATAGGTGGTAAGTTACTAAATGCTGTTAAGAGTTTTTTATGAGGATAGTGAGGCTCAGGTTAGGGTGTGTAGAAGAGAGGGAGAATACTTCCCGTAAAAGTAGTGTCTTAGACAGGGATGTGTAATGTCACCATGGTTGTTTAATATATTTATAGATGGGGTTGTAAAAGAAGTAAATGCTAGGGTGTTCGGGAGAGGGGTGGGATTTAAATTATGGGGAATCAAATTCAAAATGGGAATTGACACAGTTACTTTTTGCTGATGATACTGTGCTTATGGGAGATTCTAAAGAAAAATTGCAAAGGTTAGTGGATGAGTTTGGGAATGTGTGTAAAGGTAGAAGTTGAAAGTGAACATAGAAAAGAGTAAGGTGATGAGGGTATCAAATGATTTAGATAAAGAAAAATTGGATATCAAATTGGGAGGAGGAGTATGAAAGAAGTGATGTTTTCAGATACTTGGGAGTTGACTTGTCGGCGGATGGATTTATGAAGGATGAGGTTAATCATAGAATTGATGAAGGAAAAAATGTGAGTGGTGCATTGAGGTATATGTTGAGTCAAAAAAACGTTATCTATGGAGACAAAGAAGGGAATGTATGAAAGTATAGTAGTACCAACACTCTTATATGGATGTGAAGCTTGGGTTGTGAATGCAGCAGCGAGGAGACGGTTGGAGGCAGTGGAGATGTCCTGTCTAAGGGCAATGTGTGGTGTAAATATTATGCAGAAAATTCGGAGTGTGGAAATTAGGAAAAGGTGTGGAGTTAATAAAAGCATTAGTCAGAGGGCAGAAGAAGGGGTTTTGAGGTGGTTTGGTCGTTTAGAGAAATGGATCAAAGTAGAATGACATGGAAAGCATATAAATCTATAGGGGAAGGAAGGAGGGTAGGGGTCGTCCTCGAAAGGGTTGGAGAGAGGGGGTAAAGGAGGTTTTGTGGGCGAGGGCTTGGACTTACAGCAAGCGTGCGTGAGCGTGTTAGATAGGAGTGAATGGAGACGAATGGTACTTGGGACCTGACGATCTGTTGGAGTGTGAGCAGGGAAATATTTAGTGAAGGGATTCAGGGAAACCGGTTATTTTCATATAGTCGGACTTGAGTCCTGGAAATGGGAAGTACAATGCCTGCACTTTAAAGGAGGGGTTGGGGATATTGGCAGTGATGAAAGTATTTTCTTTTTGGAGATTTTCTTTCTTTTTTAGGTCACCCTGCCTCGGTGGGAGACGGCCAACTTGTTGATATATATATATATATATATATATATATATATATATATATATATATATTATATATATATATATATATATATATATATATAATAGTTGTAGGTAGTAGGTTGGTAGACAGCAACCGCCCAGGTGTATACTACCGTCCTGTAGTAGGTTGGTAGACAGCAACCACCCAGGGAGGTACTACCGTCCTGCCAAGTGAGTGTAAAACGGAAACCTGTAATTGTTTTATATGATGGTAGGATTGCTGGTGTCTTTTTTCTGTCTCATAAACATGCAAGATTTCAGGTTTATAATATATATATATATATATATATATATAAATATATATATATTATATATATAATATATATAATATATATATATTTATATATGTATGTATATGTATGTTATATATGTAAGTCATTCCCATAGCCAAGGGCGGGCTTATAACATGGAATCCATCCGGTTACTGACATAGCTATGCCCTCCCCTAACCTGATCATCTATACATTATATTTAGATGTCTCGGAGATATCATTTCTGAAATCTTTATGTATTGTCATTCTTTTGATATTTTGCAGTCGTTCACTGACCTTCTTCCTCAGGTCTAGACGCGGCACAGAAGGAACTCATCGCTTGTAACCACAACAGAGCTTCCAAACTCTTCACTGACTCTACCCAGCCCTGTCCTTTTCCTTCCGTGCCAGTTTACCAACACTAAAAAACAGATCACTGATTTTTTGCTTGGTGGGCCGATTTTATTTTGTATTTT